TGGACCAGATAAGGCTCAAAAGAGACTATGACATAGAGGGCAGTAGATAGAGTGAGATGTTAGTACACGCACAGCGATTTGACCTACCTCTCGTATCTGGGTATATGCAATTAAAACACAATGTCAGTAGCACACACATGTGTAAAGAAGAGATAAAGCATAACGCACCACAAATAGAACGAAAAATAAAAAAAAAAAAACATAAGTTGGGGTTAATAGCAATGTATTGTTTTACTGTAAACTGTACGTTTTTAATTTTTTTCTGAGAACGAAAGCAGAATTATTCCCTTTGCAAGTAAGGTATACGAAAACAAATCTCTGATAGCGCAAATATTGAGCCAGATTGCAAGATCTATATTAAACATGGCATTGGCAGTAACAGAATCCCTGTCAGTTTACAGTAATGGCACACTGTTAATATTACACACACAAAAACATAAACACTAATAATATTTCACACAGAGTACTTCACATCATTTTCTAAATCTGTTATACATGTTGTAAATTCAAAATGGTTTCATGCTCTAGTTTCCATGACGACAAAGCACTCTGTGTCCCTAGTTAGCATGCAGCATGGTTAGTTGATTTTTTTTGTGTTTTAGCAAAATGCACTGCAGTAATCAAGATAAAACTACTGAGCTATGTATACCCTTGCAAAACATAGCCAAGGTAAAATTGTATTTTAATATAAAACGTATGATAAATGGGTAGTTATGTATCATCCCCCCAACTATTCAGAAGTAATTAGTCCTATTTTTTAATGCACAGGTGTGTTCTGAAGAGTCTTACATTGATCTGGACGAAATCATTTTTTTTTTTGCTGTATTTTGTGATTATTTCAAACAGTCTAGGTAGTCTGGTGATGTGACATTGTGATAATTTCAACCAGTCTAGGTAGTCTGGTAATGTGACATTGTGATAATTTCAACCAGTCTAGGTAGTCTGGTGATTTGACATTGGGATAATTTCAACCAGTCTAGGTAGTCTGGTAATGTGACATTGTGATAATTTCAACCAGTCTAGGTAGACTGGTGATGTGACATTGGGATAATTTCAACCAGTGTAGGTAGTCTAGGATTGTTAAATGTATAGGAAGCTTTCGATTGCAGCGGATATCACAAAACTTTCTGGCACATTTGTTGTAAATATTAAAACAAAATCTGTTTACAATAGTCATGGTGCTTTGACAGACCACTGTACTTGTTTAAATATTTGTATTCAATTAACCAAATATTTGTCACTTTGTGCATTCTGTGGTGTTCGATATTTTGCAGCTGTTTTGCTGTTTTGACGATAATCAATTAAATCAAAACTGAAATAACAATTATAAAAGCGTTGCACATATGAGAAATATTGTTTTTAAAAAGCGGGGCTGTCGTGCAACACATGTTTGAATTTCACATAGACAGATTGTATTTTACATGCGATATATACGTTGAATATGGTTCATATGGAATAAACATGACAGTGAATGTCGGTATCACCATATAATAGTTATACAGTCAAACTTGTGTTAGTGAACACCTCTATGTAATGACCACCTGCCTTTAGTGACCATTTTTAGGCAGTCCCAAGACACAATGTATGAGCATCCTGTGTATAAAGACTACCCATCTTATGTGACCACCCTTTCAGTATTATTTTTGCGGATGCTCCTTTGTTTAAAGACTAAAATAATAATTGCATTTATAAAGACATTTTTAATTTTCTCAAGTCAAATTAATTCGTTTTTGTTCAACTCAAATAAATGTGTTTTTGTTGCAACAATGCCATCTCATTATTTTCTGGACCAATCTTATGTCATATGTATGAGTTGGCAATCCATAAAAAAATAACTTCCACATAAAGACCACCTGTCTATGAAGACCATTTGCATGAAGTCTTTTGTGTAGTTGCTATACACAGGTTTGACTGTGTAGTAGAATTACCCAGTACAACATTTTGGATTTAATTGTAGAGCAGACAAATACAGCTCTTTGCATACATATGTACAGCATATGTTCTAAGTAATGAGACCTCTTCAGAATACTGCCCTCTATAGTTGTACACAAACACGAATGCTGACAGCAGCGCGATAAAAACATTTCTTACCTTAAAATCAAATGAAATAGTATCAATTGATATCACAGCTTGTCTTGCATAGTTCTGCAATGTTCCAGTCAGGAAAGCTTGTGGAAAGAAGAACCCGGAGATCCAGAATACGCTGGGAATACCATTCTCTATCCACGTCTGGATAAATTCCATTCTTTCTACCAAGTCATTTACCCATGATGCAAGTGGTTTTAATGATGGATATGCCTGAGTAATAAAAAAAATATTAGTAAGTAAGGCTGAGAAAAAAATAAATATGTTTCTCGTTTCCGCGCACATCATTTTGAACTATGCGCCTCAGACGTTTTTTTTTTTCTTCTAAAGCATTCCAAAATGCACTTGTACTTGTCTCAAATTTCTCCCATTTCAGCTCAGTAAAAAAAAAAAAAAAGAAAAAAAAAATTGCCTCATTTTAAAATTTCCATGAAACGAGAAACACATTATAATTACTGATATCATACTCTATTATCAGTGATTGATCAAATAACATCATATCTATTATACAATAAATGCAATTTGCAGTTTATATGCACTTCTGCTAATTCAGAAAATAGAAGAGACAAAAAATCACCAAGGGTGAATTGTGTGTACTCATTTGTAAATGCTCAACAGCACTAGCTCAGGTCTGTACTGTGACAATTATGGTATATCTGATAGGATCATGCAAATGTAGTATCTTTGATGCAATCATGTTATCTTTGGAATCATAGTATATTTGATTCAATCATAGTATATTTGATGGAATCATAGTATATCTGATATAATCATCTGATGGAATCATAGAATATTTGCTGGAATCATAGTATATTTAATACGATCATACAAATGTAGTATCTTTGATGGAATCATAGTATATTTGATTCAATCATAGTATATTTGATGGAATCATAGTATATCTGATATAATCATCTGATGGAATCATAGTATATTTGATGGAATCATAGTATATTTGATATGATCATACAAATGTAGTATCTTTGATGGAATCATAGTATATTTGACTCAATCATAGTATATTTGCTGGAATCATAGTATATTTGATACAATCATACAAATGTAGTATCTTTGATGGAATCATAGTATATTTGATTCAATCACAGTATATTTGATGGAAGCATAGTATATCTGATAGAACCATCTTACCGGTATTTAATGGAATCATAGTATATTTGGTGCTCACCTTATTAGCCCACATATCAGGCACTTTGTTGATGTATAAACTATTTGACATCGTTTCCAACTCTTGGGATAACACAACCAAACCTTTCAACGCTTTCAATAAATCTTGCAATGATCGATGAATGACATTCAATAACCGGTTATATCTGAAAACAAACATAGCAAGCATGTTACGGAAGTGATAATTTATAGTGATTTTAGAGAGTATTGGGATGTTGATGTCACCTACTATGATGAATGAGAAAACAAATGCCACAGGGTTTTCAATAAATGTTGATGAATGACTTTCAATAACCGATTATTTCTAAAAAAAAAAATTTGGCATGTTACAGTGGTGGTAATTTATAGTAGCTTTCGAGAGTATTGGGTTGTCGATGTCACCTAATATGATGTATGCAAAAACAAATGCCACAGAGTTTTCAATATAATAAGCAATGATCAATGAATGACATTCAATAACTGGTTATATCTGAAAACAAACATAGCATGTTACGGAAGTGATAATTTATAGTGGCTTTTGAGAGTATTTGGTTGTCGATGTCATCTACTATGATGTATGCGTAAACAAATGCCACTGGGAACCTGTGCTAAACGGTTTTCACATATCGGACTAACAGGGCTGGGATAGGAAGATATATAGGAGTATAAAGTAAATTAAACATTTCGTTTTCAATTTAGTTCAATAAGATATTTTTGAAAATTTATATTGTTTGAAATCTAGTATCCCATCAAATTCCTTTTTTTCAGACTTTATTCAAATTTATATCTGGATAAAATGTTCTAGATAATTCAATTTTGAAAACTTTGTACATTTTCATGTATTTTCTTATAATATCTTTGTTATTATTGTATCAAATGGATATAATTTCCTTTTGGCTATAGCTCTTGATCAAAATTTTGAAAAGAAAATTGAAAACATTGCGTAGTGTTACTTGTAAGATTTGTGGAAAAACTCTCACTGACCCCTGTAAGCATCATAAACTAAAGTGATCTTAAGTGGTTACAACAATATAAATTCTGTTTCATACTGGTAACCATGACCTTCAGTTTAGGCTAGCTACAGTGCTCCAGTATTTCAGGATTTGTCACCATAGCAACTGATTTTATCATTTTTTTATGGTGATCACAATAATCAATGAGAAGTACTCTGCATATAAACAGTTGGGTATGCAATTATAACACAGTGAAATCTGTAAATTTATAAATGAATTTATTAATTTCTTCACAAGGGGATGTCTTTTATTAGGCATGTTTATAGAAAAAGGATTGGAAAAGACAGTTGGTTTTAGATTTCTGGACCAACATTTTTTTAGATGTACACAGGATTTTATGGTGTACAACAAGGTTTGATCACAATTCACAACATATGACATGATTGGACATTTATGTCAGACACTCTTGCAATGAACCAATAGGAGCCAGCGATACATACCTGATAACTTCTTGTATCAACACGGTATTCATAGATTCTTCATATCTGACTGGGTATTTCTGCATTACCATATTCAAATCGATCGGTTTCGGTGCTTTCTCTAAAATACCCTTGGAGGTTTCTTCAATGACCTGATATGAATAACAAATTTATTAAACTACAAAAGTTGATGATCTGCGCCATGGTCAATATGGGTCCCATGCGACATGTACAATGTAAAACACATTTATTCATACAAAATTGGAATCCTGATGCCTGTGCCTTTCTGTATAGCAAAGCACTATTAGTAAAGCTAGGCTGTTTCATATACTGTAAAATACTTAATTTTCGCTCGGAATTAATTTTTGCTATTCTCGCTGAAGGAATGATTAAGTGAAAATCAAATCCAGCGATTATACCTTTTTTTCCTATATTTTACATTCAACTCATCAAAAATCAGTGAAAATAAATTCTGTATAAAACACCCAAACAGTTTATTCAGCAAAAATTAATTCCAGCTAAAATAAAGTATTTTACACTACTGTATTTACTGCATGGCTAATAAGATAAATCGACCAATGAAATGGGGAGTACTCTTCTTTTTTTGTACCAATGATGCCAGCCCATAATATGTGAATTTGAATACATTTGCATGGCTAATAAGATAAACAAACCAGTGAAATGGAAGCACTCTTCTTTTTTTGTACCAATAATGCGAGCCTATAATATTGCATGGCTAATAAGATAGACTAACAAATGTTTCTGGATACTGTATTCATCTCAGGGTCCTGGGAGAGATTGTACTACATAGGGTAGAGTGAATCAGAATAGTACATACCTCTTCAGTGGAAGCTCCACCACCGCCACCACCAGTCTTTGGTTGTAACTGAACCAAAGATTCTAGCAACCCAAAGGTTTCATTCTGGGCAAACGTGATGTTGGCATTGTCATGGAGACCAAATATTTCCGGTGTATCATTCAGTGGTAAGCTTCGAATGTAAGCCATGTAACCCTGTAAACAATAGTACAATTTTTTTCAAGTTTCTTTGTAGATGACACTAGAGGGCGCTGACACTTATTAGAGGGGGGTAGTATCAATAATTTTTTTATTTATTTGTTGCTACCCTTTTACATCACATGATATAAGTAACAGAGGTATAGACAAGAGAAAGAAGTATTCACCCACTGTAGGACAGTATCTTTTATGTAAATCTCATGTTAGAGGTGAACACAAAAGGGAAGCAAGGATCTTTATTTTGCTGGTTCCTGCAAAAACGGCCGCCAGGAACCAGCAAAAACAGACTTTAGAAACACTTTACCACTAGAGGGCAGTCTTAAAAATTCTGACAGAATGCAGTAGTCACACTCTGAAGATAAAAACAAATGTCGCTATAGATTGAGCTCAACACCTCTAGAGGGTGCTGTTTCATACATGCTGTTATTGAATTTATACAAGCCAAACTCGAAACATTTCATAAATGCAACACAAGAGGGCGACACTTACATTGTGATCCATGATTGTTGGAATCTGCCTGTAGATACCAGATGCAGAGTATGAATGTTCCTCTTCTAAGACAGCAGGGTTGTAGAAATCAGCCAATATATTCATGATAGTTCTTCTGTCATGGTCATCCGTCACACGTCCACCGTAGTTGATATGACCCGCTGTATAAGTTAACACCTGAAATCAACCACACAGTTAATCACAATTTGTGATGACTTTAAAATAATTTGAACTTTCTTATTTTGAAAAACAAAACAAAAAAACAGGAATTCCAAAGGAAGATTCTTTAATGGTCTATTTATCTTTTTGTAATGATTCTTTTGATAAAAATGGGTGTGCTAAAATGGATGTTCGCCATTTTTTTGGGTTATTTTGTCAATTCTCTCTGCTAAAAATGTTTGCGAATTGAAGATTTTTACCAGCACTAGTGAAAATAAAGTTTCAAGAAAGTCACTAACGCAGTGTCACATGACCCCCCCCCCCCAGAGAGAGATTTTCATTACTACAAAATTTTTATTGGCTCACATGTGGTTTATTTAAAGGGCGGCAGTCGTCGTGCCACATTCTGTTCGATATGGGACTCATAGCATACAAGGCGTGTAAAATACATTGTTTATTTACATGAAATTCGAACACGCGCTCCGCGACGACCACCACGCTTTAACATTTAATTATTTACTCTACACTGCTTAATTTCATGAGATAAATTTTCTTGAATTTTGTGAGTCGGTGAAAAACAGTAAATTTTCTAGCAGTGATCAATTTTCTCTGGGAGCCTACAACGTGAAGTGTCAGTGGCTTTCGCATAATTTGTTCGTAAGTACTATAACATCATCAAACTCTGTAAAAATCGGCAGTTTGCGGAAGTTTGATTGACATATACAACTTTTAAATCATCTTACCTTATAAGGAGTCTCGTCATATTCAATTAGAAACATTTTGAGTTGACTGACACAGATACGTAGATCGCCTGTTGTGAATTCGTACGGAATGTTAAAACCGAGAGGTCCAAACTTCTTTCGCTCTACAGTTACTGCATGGAATAACGCCAATGATAGCAGCAATGATTTGAACTCATGTGTCTAGGTAAGAGAAATTGATGGAAATTAACATACAAATTTGTTCTGACCCCAAAATTATACCATAACATGTTAATAACAGTATATTATAGTGTGTAAGGCAACAGTTTTCAGACAGTGAAATGAAATTTGCCCTAAAAACCATATTTATGTTTATAGTCTACAAGGAGGCTGCACGACCAACTCTCTATTGAAAAGCAATAGATCATTTTCTGTTTTCTGTGAGATTCAGTGTTATGTGAGAAATCGAACGTAAAAGCTGGACAAACAAAGGTCAAAGCGTCTTAGTGGCGACAAACATCACGTGGGATTCTGCAAACACAAAAGTATATTTCCATGCTTAATAATGTGCACATTTGATGAGGGTCAGTTTTGATGAAGTAAGGGTATTCAGATGTAATCGGCCTTTTGCTGTGAGCCATGAAATTCAAGTTCGGCTCACATCTTTCACGCAACTCGTGAGACCTCGCTGTTGAACGGAAAATCACCTATTCAACTTACTGTCCTGGCATCAACCAGGCCAAGTCAAACACAAACACCTGCAGACCTCAACCAGGGTTCCCCCTAAAGCCACATCCACAAGTGAATAATTCAGTAATTTTTGCATTCTCATTAAGTCTGTGAGTAAGGGAAGTCAATCCTTTTTTTGTGTCAGATTGGACACAATACAATCTGACAATCCAATAATCAATATACTGTAAAAAGGTTTAATATTCACTGGGTTTTAATTTTGTTTATTTCGACGACTAGAAAATGCACTAAATTAAAACCCAGTGAATATGTTAAATTTAGCATAGAACACATTATCTAAATGATAAAACCGTGAACTTAAAACCCACTGAATATGCCTGAAATGGTAATCAGCGACATTTAAACCCGGTGAAAATTAGTCATATTACAGTAATACTTTTAGACAGATTCTATGGTCAAGAGTTTCATCAATGACATTAAGTTGTTCAAGGTTTTTTACCTTTTCACCACATGAAGCGAGTAGTTCATCATTATAGCTGGTATAGGACTGCAATAAATTTGCTTTTATTCCTTTAGGTGGTTCCATAGTCATCTTGGCACCATTCTGTAACACTGGTACCGGGAACTTAGGACTCGGCATACTGGTCAGCCATAAGCGGAAATCACGATGTACCTGGCAAACGATAAAAGAATAATTAATACAAACATGAACAAGACTTATACTTAATTTCCATATTCAGGGTCAAGTCTGTGATGTCAAGTTTGAGTTGCAATGCCATAATGGCAAGACCACATCTCCTTGGTGAAGTTTGGAATGTGTTATGTTTACGTCATTAAGTATGCAATTTCATAATAGCAGGATTATTGTTGTCATTACACCATCTCGTTCCCTAGTTCATACAGAAAAGTCATGCCCCATCTCAGTCTCAATACCTAAAAAAATATTATTACTACCTATGTACTTTCTTCAAGACTATGGCTTCAAGTTACAACAAGAGTTTCTTACCTTGTCAGGATCAATGTTTTCAATAAGTCTCTCCAATGCTGGCATGAAACTAGGCGCTAAGTGACAGTTCTGAAAGAACACCCATTTACCACGATCCATAGCACTACGCATCATAGCCTCAGCACGGGGACCCTGTATATCACAAACACACATAAATTAAGTTACTATAATTATGCATTACAGTCAGATAATTGAAGGCTACAGTGGGAATATAACCATAATAAAACTAGATCACAACTAATTGATTTTCAGAATAGAGGAGATTCCCTCAGGTGACGACTGTGGTATCATTGACACAAACTTGTCATTTTGTTTTACTTTTTTGTGCATCACTGCTTTTATTATAAGGTCATATTTTTGCCACTAAGATATGACGTAGAAAAATACAATGTAGGGATGAGGGTGGGTGTTAGTGAAAGCGACAATGTTTTGTAGTTTTCAATGACTTACGAAACTTGATAGTTAATGCAATTGATTCCTGGACAAAATGATGAATTAAAAATCAAAGACTTTTTAACTGACTCACCTGTCCTTGACCAAGAGAAATGATATTGAGTTTCTTTGCAAACCTCATCTCTTCAGCAAACTTGTAAAGATCCGCGGCCGGATCAGTACCCGTAGACAAGACAAAAATCAAGGGTGTTGTAGCATTGGAATCTTTGAATGCAATGGACAAGTCTGCAGTCTGTGGTTCAATAAACCGCTGGCCAAGATGTTTAGCTACATAGTCCTGAGTAAAAAGGAACAAATGGCATTAAGATTACAAGGTACACAAGAAATGCAAATAGGAAGCAATTAAAAAAGTTGATGCACTGTTCCATGATCATTTCTCAATGACACAATGTTTGCATAGCAAGATGTTTTTCTACTGACAGTTTGTGCAATCATATTCATAATTTTGCAAAATTGTCTTCAATATCACCCAAGACTACAATGACATTGCTACTCCACTTATATTCAAAGTGGGTATTACATTTTAGACCCGCGAGCAGCTTTATAGTTGCACAACTCTCACACTATGAGACACACAGCAAACTTTTATGAAACATTTTAGTTACCATGGGCATAGGCCCAAATAAAGAGGAGTTGAAATTACTGTGGTTGTTTTGAAAGTTTCATCAATTTTTCTTATGCATTGAATAAAACTTTGTGAAAGGTTACGAATGTAAAAGCGATGATAAGGCTAAAGCAGACACATTGCGATCGTTGTATATTCTTGGGGCAGAGCTACTTCACGATACGTTCTATGTTGCTTAAACGTGCATTACTATACCATGTATTTCTATGGGCTCTGTGCAACCTGCCATGGAAGGATGGTCAAAGAACCGGTGAAAACAGCATTAACTCAATTTTAGGCAATCCTGGATAACAAAATTGATATATGTAGCCCGATGTACGGCTCTAAAGGTTTTCGACCATTGTTTTTACTAACTAGGCAGTTAAAATGCCTGAATGTTTGTATATAAAGGTGATAATGCTCAGCTACCTAATGCTACTACTGTCTCTCCCGACTTAAACTGGTGTGCAAATTCAAAGCACAAACTACCCTTCATGGAATGTCCACATAAACTATACGCTATGTTCGAGACCACATGGTGTGCGATACTCACCTGCATTGCGTTGGTGACTTTGTCAGCTCGTATACACCTCAGTACGACTATCTTCTGAAAATCATCTAGATCTTCATTCCAGTGACCTGGTAATTCTTCACGGTGAGGATCGATGCTATCAAAGTAATGCTTGAAAGAGTCCAAGTGATCTCCAAACTCTCTCGCAAAATTATGAAGTCTTTGCTGCAAATGTTAAATACAAACACAGTGAGTTGTGAAGGCAAGCCGCAAACACCAGAACAAATGTGGGGGAACAAGTGAGAGATTATTTTAACTTTTAATTTCAGGAAAAGAATATCTACAACAACCAGATCACATCATATGACAGAGTTGGCTGGAAATGACAAAACTGAAACTTTCCAGATTGCAAGCGTGAATAAATTTTGACGCTTTCTCACATTTTTTCTCTCAAAGACATCCACCATTTGTTCTGTTGTGTCCATGATTCAAAAATGCCACCACTCTCACCCAATCTGTGATGTCATCTCTGAGTCATAGACATGTACAACAATTTCAATTGTTTGACTTATTAAGCATGGTTTGTTTAAACAATGTGCGCTAGCATGGGTTGGAATTATTGATATATTACGAGCATGTACAGTGAATCGGGTAAGAAAGGATGCAAGCAGCGACTCGTTGATCCATTTGTGACCGATCACAATCTTAAAATTATCTCTCGTAAAATTAAAACGGTTTACAGAAATTACCGAAAATCAGTTTAGAAACAGTCATATAAAAGACGATGATCGTTATATTGGAGGCGACTTCAATATGTGTTAAATAGGACAACAATCACCGCCATTAAAATCATTATAATAACCTACAGTATTAATTTGTCTTTGAAAGTACACAGTATTGATATACAGCAGTATATAGAAGTAAATTTTTGCCGATTCTTTTTTTCATCATTTTCTGTCAACAAATTTGGCAGTTATATTTACTGCAAAAATGTGCCCGAATACATATATGACTTTCATCACAAGACTTTCTTGCCCAAATTTGTTTGCACATTTTTTTATATTCTTCAATATTTCTTAAAATGAACCTAATTTTGGAGCCAACAGACCGAATTTGAATCGATTTCCAGTTTTTACTAAAAAATTTGGCTGTTTTTGTCCTGATCTTCCGAAGAAAAGTGCAGACTATAAAAGGGACTATTTTGTGAATTTGTGAAGAAAAGAAAGAACTGGTGGTGAAAATGTTAACTGACTACTTTTGGCCCATACAAATGTTGTAATAGATAATAACTTTTTGAATATCAATGCATTTTCTAAAATTAGTTTAGAGCAATGTCTGTTGTGATTAAAGACAATTAAATAATTGGTAGTTGGTCATAAATGCATCAGCGATAATAAGCAAATAAGCAATGTATGGGTGCTACCCATCATTATGGAGCATATACGGATCCATTGTGAGACATTTATTACACAGATGGCTGAAAAGGAAATACTTACATTATTTAAGGATATGAGAAGGGTACTTTTACGGAAAGGGAGGATAAAGTGGACAAGGTGGGAATCATTAAATAGTTTTATTGTAATACCAATGTTCTGTAATCAAGAACTACCTTATACCTTTAGTAGTTACCGTTGGTTACTGGGTTATGTTAATGAAGATGACAGATCAGTATAGTGATGGATGGAAATGAAGTTTATAGTTGTAAATGAACAAGTCTGATTCGTGGATTTTCTCTCTATAGTCTGTGGTAAAATTGAGTTTCTCAATTGTAGAAGGAGATTATAAAACACCAGAAGGCGCTGTATAGTTAAATTGAGTTTCTCAACTGTAGAGAGAGATTATAAAACACCAGAGAGCGCTGTAGAGTTAAATTGAGTTTCTCAACTGTAGAGGGAGATTATAAAACACCAGAGGGCGCCATAGTGTTAAATTGAGTATCTCAACTGTCGGCCTCTGAACACCATAATTTTTCCCGCCAAAATATTGGTCCCACATTTTTACATATATTTCTGTAAATTTTGTGTTAATTTTAGAGCATATGGAAATAATTTTCCATTGGCCAAAGACCTTGATCAAAATTATGAAAAAAAACAGAGACAAAATTATAAAGACTAATTTTGTGAAATGTGACCAAAGTAGAGGGTTCCTCAACTGTAGAGGAGGATTCATTACCACTAGAGAGGGCTAGATTCTAACTTGCAGAGAGAAACCAGGAACCATTGGGAGACTTGTTGACAGAGAGGGACACGTTACTGATGTGGTGCAGAAGTTATATTTATGATTTACAATGGTTTGATGTGTTTCTGAAACAAAAGTTGAATGAATGAATGATGTTAAGTTAAATCATATTCTTGTGCATGAAGAGTTAACCATGCTAAATGGAGAAGAGAATGAATGTTAAAATAGTGCAATGTATTTTTATCTGGATAATTGTGCATATTATTATTATTTTAAACTGAAAGTGATGAGTCGTTTCTCCCACTTTAACACTCACATACTCATTATTTATGACAAAATTCATCAGTGTACTACATGTCACTTCATTTACTCATTAACACACTCAATCATTATTCAATATTACTCATTACTCAAACACTCACTACCAACTCAATGAATCAATAACATATGTACTCATGTCTCCACACTCACTGCCAACTCAATGATAGATGAATAAATGGTAGCTTCACTCTCACATTTACACTCACTACCAACTCAATGAATCAATAACATATGTACTCATGTCTCCACACTCACTGCCAACTCAATGATAGATGAATAAATGGTAGCTTCACTCTCACATTTACACTCACTACCAACTCAATGAATCAATAACATATGTACTCATGTCTCCACACTCAATGCCAACTCAATGATAGATGAATAAATGGTAGCTTCACTCTCACATTTACAATCACTACCAACTCAATGAATCAATAACATATGTACTCATGTCTCCACACTCACTGCCAACTCAATGATAGATGAATAAATGGTAGATTCACTCTCACATTTACACTCACTACCAACTCAATGAATCAATAACATATGTACTCATGTCTCCACACTCACTGCCAACTCAATGATAGATGAATAAATGGTAGATTCACTCTCACATTTACAATCACTACCAACTCAATGAATCAATAACATATGTACTCATGTCTCCACACTCACTGCCAACTCAATGATAGATGAATAAATGGTAGATTCACTCTCACATTTACACTCACTACCAAATCAATGAATCATTGGCCATTCACGTGTTTTCAGCTCACTGCCAGCTCTCTCATCTTTACACACTCACTCACTTACTCTCCCTCACATGTATAAACACACAACCAACCCACTGAATCAATGACATATGCACTCTCACATTTATGGCCTCAACATCAAGTCAATGAATCATTGACATGTGTAATCTCTTATATCTCTACACTCACTACCAGCTCAATGAATCAATGACATGTGCACTCTCACATTTATGGCCTCACCATCAAGTCAATGAATCAATGACATGTGTACTCTTTTATATCTCTACACTCACTACCAGCTCAATGAATCAATGACACATGCACTTTCACATTTATGCCCTCAACATCAAGTCAATGAATCAATGACATGTGTACTCTCTTATATCTCTACACTCTCTACACTTACTACCAGCTCAATGAATCAATGACATATGTGGTCTCTAATATTTATGCACTCACTACTAACTCAGTGTTAACTGGTTGCCAGCTCAATGACAAATGTACTCCCTTTAATGCTCACTACCAACTCAATGTATGAATGACATATGTACTCATTACTTGACATGAACTCAATACAACTCACAAACCATATCCACTCACTGACTGTGCAGGATGATAAGTGATTTGTTAGCCATGCCGTAAAACTCACTATTTTTGGTTCTTGTGCTTCATGACCTTTCTTCAAAGGCTCTCGCTGGTAAAAGGTAAGTAAACAAAAATGACAAACAAATACACACAAGTAACTAATTAAATAAAACCCATCATTTTCACAGGAGATATCTCCCATGAATCTATGCTCAGCTGCTATGTCAAAGCTGCAAGAAATATGTTTGGTTAGAAACAATTGGTGGTTCATCGCTCTATGTGGGATTCACAGTTCATCTCTGTATGTGATATACACATACTTTTGTTTCTGCTTGTGTAATAGTAGTACGGTAGTAACATTGTATTGCATCTTAGGAAATATTTCTACCAGTTCTATCAGGAATAAATATGTATGCATGTGTGTATGAAGCAACATACACACAGCAGACATTCAGCAGTTTTTATTGTAGCTCATAGTGCCAGGTACAGTGTTGAATACTTAATCACAATTTTTATGATATATGGCTGGAACTTAATCTTATAAACCTGGCTTTGGTACGTCATTCAAATAAGAAACAAGCAATTTTGACCTCAGATCACAGTCACTGTTATTATTGTTCAAGTTCATAATATAACTATCAAATCACAAACATATAAAGTAAATGAGAGTGGTCACATACCAGGCCAGACATAATAAGAATGTCAATCCAAGATCTTTCTGATAACCAATCTGATGCAGGATTGGGTAATTCTTCAGGTGTACTGGTACCTCCGCCCAATAGAAATCTCCATTCATCCTGCATAAATATACACAGCAGGTTAAATATTACATATATAGTAGAAATAACAGCAAGAAATTTTCCCTTTTTCCCCAATTGGAGATTTATCTCTAAATCAGGACTTAGCTTTATCTTATACTTGTATGTACTTTGACTGAGGACAACTTAACATTTTGGAAAAATCACAAGCATGGTTTTCGTGGAAAAAAGTTTGGATATCTCCTCTTCTTATATTTTAGATAACATTTTGCTCAGTAAAATATTATAAATAAGCAGTGTTTTAATGTTTTTTTTTTTATATATTTTTTTACTAGTTAGCTGGGATATTGACCTCGGTAAGATAACAATGCATTGACTCACCATGTTAATTTTGCCTTCATTCATCAGTATTCGTATCGCCACCAAGAACGAGAACATCAGTTTATGCTTCTCAAATAAACTCCTGCATACATTACTATAAAGACTGAACGTGAAGTAGTCATTGATGTGTATAATACGCTCCGACACTTTCTCTGCAATCAGAAAAAAAAACACAGGAAATTAATGCTAAGAAACGACACTAGAGACCAAGTCTTGGCTGAGAGCAGAAGGGGTGTGAGCCACGGCCAAGCGTCGTCGCCGAAACCTGTTTCGTGATGTGAGTTGCAGATTTGATTTACATCACGGAGAGATTAGCATAGTACTTGATCGAGGCCAGTCAACGCAGGGATCAAAACCCGACCGTTGTTGCAGATACCATTTCCGTGCACAGAGTCGCATGTTTGACTCTATTCACGAAGAATGGCAGCGTGTTAATCGAGTGGTGTCCGCATGCACTGCGATGACAACCCCCCTTAACTTTATTGAAACAATGTAGAAATAATACAGGTTGATGCAGGAGTTGAATGCTTAAATTATGAGGTAGTGGATGGGTGGGGTAGTTTGGAGACGGGTTCAGGTCGCTTGCTGAATGTAGAATGACTATGCTAAGGCGAAGCGGGATACAGGAAAGCTTGACAATTGTATGGCAAGTAGGATTAGGCAAATGACCGTCACGAAAGTATGAGCTTACAATATGCGTGTGAATGGAAATAGCACGGGCGAGGCATGCCTGAGATGGAAGGTCGCGTGCCTATGAATAGGGGCACACGTTGATGTCATGTGCAGGGGGATTACGACTGGCGTGTGTTGCGTAAGTCATGTGTTAGGGATTAAAACTGAGGCGTCGTTGCCGAGCATTAACGCAGACTATGCTGACGCATAATCATACTATAAATTTTACTGAGGACAAAACAAATGAATTGAACGATCTCAACTCCTAAAACTACAAAGACATCAGAACCGTTACTGTTACTATTGTTTATACTGGCGTTCACAATGAGGATAGTTGAATCATCTTACCAGCCCTCTCAGAGTTTGCAATACCAGCCATAAACAATCCCGTGAACCACTCCAATGAATACTGATACATAGGGTCTACATTAGCTAAGTCAGTTGTACAGAAGAACAGCAGAGATGTTCGCACAGCCACTGGGATGTACAGACTACGGGTGACGTCAATTTCCTTCTCTGTCTCTTCAGCTACTGCCACTTTAGCCTATCACAACAAATACATTAATTTTAGCGTTTGTTACAATTGTTTTATGATTTTAATACGAAAGATAGAAATGACATGATCAAAAGAACGATGAATGTTATGATTTACGAAAGATAGAAATGACATATTCAAAGGTTAACTGAATGATACAAATGATGTAATCACACTAAACACACATTTAAAAAACGTCAATGTCGGACAATATAAAAATCAATCTACATTATCTATTGTCCCAAAATACTGAGCATAATCCTTGAAAAACATACAGACAAGTGTGACATTTTATCTCCATGGTTACATGAAAAGAGAGGATGAAGATGAGATCAAAATAGGCCAGCTCACCTTAATCTCCAGTGATTTGATTTTAGAAGCTTCTAATGTAGCGATGAGATCCACATCATCTACTGGACTTCCTTCTGATGAACTCAAACGTTCTAAAATCTTGTCCTCGATCTCTTTTAACTCTTGCTTCATCTTGGCATTACTGATGATCAACTGGTTCTTGGCTTCTTCCAAATCCGGTCTCTCTTCAGCAACAACACGGGACAACACCTGATCTTCCAGGCCACTGAAATATTAAACAACAACAAACATCAGTGTTTTTCTGCAGAAACCATATTTCATGTTGATACTGATACATGACACAGCTTTGTAACCATCTTCCTATCATAATGGCATTATGTTGATTTAATGTGCTATCCTGGTGTTAATCGGTCAAATACAATCATCTCCACAGACATTACACTAACGTTTCACCAATGTCGTACCTGAGTCTTAGTCTGTGGCTTTGGATTCCCTATTGAGTCTGTGGCACAGTCACCCAGAGAAGGAGGTCAAAGCCAGATAGGATTTATCATGAGTGTGGCCCAACTAATGATGGAGGGTTACTTAGTATGGCTGTTGTTTTCTGCCAGATGACAGTGGAGCTAAAAAAAAGTTATCTTGAATTGATGGCTGTTACTTCATAGCTCTATATACTTACCTTGGAGAGAGTGTAAAATTGACGACAGTGACTTTAGTAGATACTTCTGGCGTGTAGTGAGGATTGGGTAGTTTGGTTGTGATATAAAACTTGAAATCATCGTGATATGGGATGACTGCATCTCCAAGTTTTATCACTAAACTACCTTGCTGTTTAAATGTCTGTGAACAATAACAAATATTTATATAAGTTTCAGAATATATGCGATAGTCCTAATTATCAACATTCAAATTAAGTATAAAATTAAAGTTCAAAATCATCTCAAAAAAAAAAAAAAATGAGAAGCTGAATGAAAGGACAAAGAACAATGACATGTTTGGGTTTTTGTGACCACAAGATAAATTAACGACAACAACGATGACAATTCAACTACATACAAATGAGCATGGTTATACCAGTATATATGTATGCAGAAACTTAGCATTTAAGCGAGAGGGTCGTCACCTGTGCATGTGCGGGAATTGAGTCCCTGCGACAATAACAACATGCGCTAAAAATGCAAAAGGTAGACACTTGTTTATAAACAATGACACGCTATACGCGCTATGGCCATCTGATGCAAACACAGGTGACGACTCCCCCACTTTAATATGACTGGTATAAACTCAGTGCTGACATACATAACAATCAGTAGTACAACTAAACCATCAGTGAACTTGACTTTTAATAGGTCTGATTTATTTTTATAAACATCCCAAAATAAACATAGACACTATGGGAAAATAAAAGTAAAGATTGTTAAAACAATGTATGGTTGTTGACTTTACCTGTCTCAAAAGAATAGGTTCCAATGCTGGATCTAACTCCTCGGCTACATTCTCCAACAAACATGGTTTTCCAAATCTCACAGCATTCTCGAGACTCCTCAGGAAATCACGGTCAGTTAACTTGATAATATCAAGACCATTGTCTTTCTCCTGAAAACCAAACCATAGGAGAATAAAAAAAATTAAATATTATACAGATTTACATTTAGTGATTGAAGTTAACATAAACATTTTTGCCTTAGAAATATTTACTATCATTAACTGTTTTATTTTAATAACAATAAATACAGTAAAGTCAGTCTACAATATGACTGGTTCTTCTTTCATAGATATTCTCATAGCTTTCTCTACAAACTAAATCACTCTGTAGACAGAACTCACTGAATATTAAAAGTTTGTAATTGTATATATTTGTTTTTATAAAAAAATTAAATGCATTTAAAACAATTTCCTATTGAATTAATAAATTATATTGACAGTGTGAATCACTGACCAATGTTGTACTTTATAATCTTCATTTTAATGAATTTTCCTCAGTTGCGTAATTTAATATTATTTTCCTCCCTTTCTTCCATCCACCCATAGCTACATAATTTTTATTCCAGTCAAATTGATCTATGTATAACCCATACTCTATAAGCAAATTGCTGCTTCCATGAGCTGTCCATACAACTCAAAAAAAATGGTTTTTAGTAGTTCTACATACTGTAAAACATGTTGAAAAAGCGGCATGCAATTTTTGTGAATTGTGGTAAAATGATGTAATAGCGAAATGTTGATTTAGCGAATCTCTCTTGTCATTGTTGATTTCCTGTTTTCACAATACTTGTCTGTCACGTGTCAAAACAAATGCGCAGTTATCACCTCCATAAAAACAAAGTGTGATTAGGAAGTGCCACAGATTTTTATGTTCTGGATTACAGTATACAAATCACCAAGCCTTGGCCATTTTGAATTTATAATAGTCATTAGCGACATCTTGAATTAGCGAATCAGTTCTCTCGCTAAAAAGACATGCTTGCAAAAAACACATGTTTTACAGTATTCTTTTTGTAATGAATTATTTCAATACGAGCTGTAAATTAAATAATAATAATATTTATATTAATAATAATAATATTACCACGTACCATAGTTTTAATCCATCTGTTGGCCTGTCCTTGTGGATCTATAAACAGTGGCCATCTTTGCGAATACTGTACTATTACACTGTTCTCCACAGAGAGTGTGTCTCTCGGCAGACCAGCAATCTGCCAACTACGAATCTTAACAGGGTTTCCCAAGGTGGACACCAGACTGTTATCTTTAGTGTGCGGTACGTTGAATGATTCAAACTTGTCTGACCACTCTTCCAATAATGAAGCTCGATATTCACCCTGTAGAGTAGAAAATAATAAGTTAGCTGAAACAAATTATTTTAGCAGGAACAAATTTTGCTGAAAAGACCTTTTGGCTGTTTTGTATGAAGTTTAATTTTTTAATGTGTTGAATGTAAAATATAGGAAAAAAGGTATGATTTTATGATTCATCCCTTCAGCAAAAATAGTGAAAAAGAGTACATTTCAGTAAATGTTAAAATCAGAAAGGATACATGTGACAGATTAACATATGGTTCACCACAATTTGAATATTCTTGACAACTGCGCCGATTTGAACGATCAGACTTCATAATCTACTCACTGTGAAAGGTCCAAGGTAAGCGACGTACGATGCAGCTACGATAACATTACCAACAATATTGTCAATGATGAACGTCAGCTCCTTGACGGACTCAGCCCAGCGGTCTTTCTCGTCTGCCAGTCCTCCAATCAACTGTTAAGCCAAAATGAATAATTAATTAGTGATATACTCAGATAGCAGAAAGTTTATTGATCACCTTATTATGGGAAAGAACTGAATAGCCATCTATTTTATGATGACTAAATGATCATAAATGGTAAATAGTTTATTTTGACATTATCCCATTCAATTCAATTCAATTCAAACCAACCTTATCTGCACGGACTAGTCTCTGTTCGCACTCTTCGCACTTGGCTTCTAGTTCTTGTTTCTTGGCAACACAATCTTCGTACTTGGCTTGTAAGGTTGCGATACCGTCCTGTACTTCCTGGAGGCGAGCCTTGGCCTCGGCAAGAATCTTCTGAGTCTCAGCCAACTCTTCTTGAGCGATCCTAAGTTTCTCCTAACAAAATGAAGGAAATAATATCCAGTGAGTAAAAACTGATTAAACCATAGACCCTCTAACAGAGGGTCTATGATTAAACTAAGAAGTAATATGTATACTATTATGTCAACAACATAAGTTCATGATTGTCTGAGAAATGATTAGTTTTGAATGAATGCATACAATCCTAAACAGAAGTAATCATTTCAAACCACAGGGACTAACAATAAATCCTGTTTTCAAAACCACAAACAATTAAACCTTTTCCAAGTGTTTATGTAAAGTGCACCCCTTTGATGATTCTCATTTCTACCATAGAGGGCGCAACACTACAAAGTCAACATTCTACAAACACTTGCAGCTTGGAAATGTCCTGAAAGATTCCCAGTGAAAACTTACCCTTTTGGGAGCCACACCTTTGGCAACAAAGTGATATTTGTGCATAGCTCTGACCCACTGACAGATGGAGGTACAAGCCTTGGATACTTTGGCAATAGCTGCAGGTTGGAAATCTTCACTGTCAATGTACGGTTGAATCTTGGCAATGTTAGAATCAGGGATGTTGTCCTGTCGGAGAAAAGGAGTTAACAAAGTCAGATATCAGATATACAATTTTGTTCAGTACATGGTGGAAATATGATTTCTGGTATTAGTTATTTTGTGGAAATTTGATTACAGGTAGTAGGCATAAGGTGGCAATTTGATTACTTGTAATATGTTTTTGGTGGAAATTTGGTGGCAATTGTATTACTGGTAGCAGGTATATAGTAGAAATTTGATTACAGCTGGTAGGTATATGGTAGAAATTTGATTACAGGTAGTAGGTATATGTTAGAAATTTGATTACAGGTAGTAGGCATAAGGTGGCAATTTGATTACTGGTAATATGTATTTGGTGGAAACTTGATTACAGGTAGTAGGCATTTGGTGGAACTTTAATTACTGCTAGTAATTTGTTGGAAATTTGAATAGTAAGCATATGGGGAAAATTTGAGTAGTGGGCATTTGTCAGGAATTTGAATTGTCTTTAAAACTTATTTTGACAATTAGACACACAGCTGTCATTTACATAAGTGCAACAAATATGCCAGCAAGTCAGGTAGGCATTTGATTAGTCGGCATTTGGAGGAAATCTGATTACTGGTATGTAGGCATATGGTAGAAATTTGAATACCAGTAGTAGGCATTGATTGAAATTTGTTTTAATGTAACTAATCCACGTAACTGGTCTTTCTGGTATTGCAGTCAGCAATGCTGTCAGTGCAATAACTCCAATTGTAAGAAACAAACACATACATACCTTATCATATTTGAACAAACTTTCCAAGAATTTTCCTGGATCTTGTAGCAAACTTTTACCAGGATCCCAATAATCATCTTTCTTTTCACCAGGCTTGTCTCCAGGTACTCTTTTTGGTTTGACACCTTTCATGATACAGACAGCTTCTATGACCATACGTACACCGTTGGGTGGCCTCTGCATGGCACGTACCTATATACATGCAACAAGATAAATGTATAGTACAATTGTAATGCATGGTAGAATGCTACATTAACAGTAGACATACTATCAATTCCACTTCAAAATTAATAACCAAGCAACTCATATTTTACAAAGCAGTTTGCTGCATTGATATAATGGTCTTGAAATTAAGTGTCCCACAAATACTTCTACTACTGTAGTTAATTTTGTAATGGATTTCCAGTTTTGTACATGAGGTACCAATTAACAAACCCAACCAACTTGAATTTTATATACATGTATCTGATGGAACCAATGTCATAATCAAATCATATTATTCAATGACTTGTAATGTAACTGCAAGTTCATTCAATGACTTACATCAATGAGCTGGCAACATACAGATAGTTAGCATAACAGTTGTTTCATTTATTGACTTAAACAAATATTCAATGACTAATCAGGACTGGCAAGTGAAGGCAGCCAGTATTAGGTATTTCATTCAATGGTTTACCTCAATGACATTCTTATTCAATGACATAAGAAAGATAACATACATGTATCAAATAGTAATGGGACATCTTTTTCATTCAATGACTTAAGTGAGATAATTCGTTTTCAATGACTGATCATGACTGATCAATGTATCACCTAGTACAGGCAATTCATTCAATGACTTACCTCAATAACATCATTCTTATTCAATGACTTGAGACTGGCCAATGCAGCATCCAATGCTGGAAGTGCTTCATCCAAATCCCTCTGTGCATCATCAGCAATGGCTTTGGTTTCTCTGGCTTTACCCGCTGCTTCATGTTCTTCTTTCTCGACAACGTTCTTTGTTTCCTCAGCCACAATCTACAATGACAGCACAAGTTGTTGTTCATTATTTCACCACACAATTTTATATATCATATTTTCAAAATGATGACCCACATCTTGTCTTTCTGTAGTTGTTTGATTTTAAATTTGAATTTTGAAATTATGACATTCAGTAATTACATCAAATTCGCATTCTCACCACCTTGATATTATAAATTGTAACCCCGTAGCTTATTAATTTTTATGAAACATGCACGTTAATACGCCATATTGACATAGGTAAAAGTTGTGATGAAATTTCTCAATTTCAACTTCAACAGAAAGACAGTGACTGGGGTACCATGATGATACATTGGACCAGATCGTATTTGATACATTGCTTTTTGTAAAATATTGTAATGATGTTAATAATACATCAAAACTATACACACCAAGGCTAAGAACAATTATCATCTCAAAAGGTCCTTGCAAACTTTCTATCAACTTTTCATGGCTATGCAGTAGTTAAGTTTATTCTCTGTATTCAGACTTCCATCATGTTCAAATGTTTACACCATTTTAATATAAAAAGCCTAAATTATTAAGATTTACAAAGGTGATAGTCGTTCATTTTACACAGTGAAGCGACACTTAGTGCTTTAATGTAGTAAAATACTGTAAATGCATTAATTATTCACTGGGTTTTAATTTCGCTAAGTTGAATTCTTACGATCTTGTCAAATTACAATAGAAAGCAATGTTTCTCTGGCAAAAACTTGAACCCCAGTGAAAATGAATGGTTTTACAGTATAATCAGTTATTTGTGTCACTGTCTGTGGCAGCTGTCCACTCACTGAGCAGCCTAAGTGAGCCTAAATCATAGCGGAATCCCTATCATACACAAAAAGTTGTATGGAACCTTTAGGTTAGTGAATATTCATACTTACTGTGTCCTTAGCAATCTTTTCTATGGTGAGTTCAGTCTCCCTAGCAGCCTCTTCTAACATAGGTTTCATAGTCTCCAGTTCTTTTTGAAGTTTGTCAACTTCCTCAGCTGTATTTAACAACTACACAAACAAAATACAAATAATCAAGTTGAGTTGAGTTAATAGTTTTCAGATGATTCAGCATGAATTTGATCGAATCATAAAAGCACCTCAAAAAACTATTAATATTTAAATGTAAAAGTCAGTCTAAACTGAGACAGTATTAAATAGATATGCCTCAGCCAATCAGAGAATGCCTTACAAATTCTTTCCCAGTTTCATGCATACATCTGTTTTCAGATTGGCTGTTGATGAATAGCGAGCTTGAAGATATTCTACTGCATTACAGATATCTAATTCTATATCCAGCTTTCAAAAATCTCCAAGAAGGTAGAAACTGAAAACCATAGAAATGAAAACGTACCTTGTCCAGACCAGTCTTCATTCTGTTCTTAGCAGTTTTCAGCTCAGTCTTCTTCATACCGATCAGCTTCGAGAAGATCCCGAGTAGTTCTAAATAAGCAGTTGGTGTGATGTACACATGACGGGATAACTCAGCGAGGAATAGTTTCGCTTTCTTTGTCACGGATTGATGAACCTCTACACACATGTGTACCTGTAATGAAATACAACAAACTATTAACATGTGTTGAGTGGCGTTTATTTTCACATACCGGTACTCTCATTGTATTGCATACAAAAAATATGGAACAACACATCTTCATTTATTTTATTTGCACTGATTTATTTCTTCAATGAAAACAGCAAAAATGAATTGCAAGTGTTCCACTGTAGGTTGATTTTAATAACAATGTAATCTTGTTTAATTTTTTCATGATATGATGGTTTGTCAACATCATTGGGGGGGGTCACAATTTTGTGACTGCAACTCTCTCTCTTAACCTCTTCACCACCAGTTCCCTCTTTTCATTACAAATTCACAAAATAGCTCTGTTTATAGTCTCCACTTTCCTTCAGAAGATTGTGACAAAAATAGCCCAAATCTTTTGAGTAAAAACTGAATATTGACTCAAATTTTGTCTGTTTGCTCCAAAATTTCGGTTCATTTCCAGAACAATTGAAAAATATAAGAAAAAAAGTGCAGAAAAATTTGCGCGAGAAAGTCTAATGCTGAAAAAGATATATATATATATCCCGATAAAATCTACACTAAAATGATACTAAACACCAAGGTTTGTGAAATTTATGAAAATTTTCTCTTGCAAATCGTAATTCAGTTGTCTCAAATTTTGGTGAAATATTTTGCCGCTTGATATCTATTATTTTGATAATTTTGGACCAAACGGAGATAATTTCCTATTGTTTACAATTTTTGATCAAAAATTAGGTTTTATTATGTGAAAGATGGCAAAAGTTGACTTTAATTTGGCACCCAACGGGTTAATACAGTAAATGGTTTTTTTTTTGTATTTTTCTGTTCATCACATCATACTAAGGAAAGACAACTAAGGTACACTGTACTCACCAATCCATTTATCAGCTTAGCTGTAGCTTCATCGTCATCACCTTGTTCCAAGTCCACAATCTCAGAGAGGAACGTCTTAGCCACGGATTGCAATGCCTCATCCGGCCACTCACTGAACCAATCAATGGTGCAACAATTAACAAGAGACGGAAACTGACGTAGACGGGCACGGAATATCTCACCAATTGGACTAGAAATAAGAAAAGAGAAAAATTATATCTCTGATGTTATGAAGATTAACATTATAATTCTCTTCGGGCTGAGTTTCTTGCAACATGACCACAGTATCCATAATTATAATAAATTCAACTTACGATAGCACACTAATTGTCATGCAGAGAAATCAAACTAGTAATAAGTACACACACCCATAAAAAAATAGACAGACACATGGACAGAACCCACACCTTTGTCCAACTGAACCTGATGAAATATGTATGAGCAACCTTGTATCATGTTATGAGATTCAATTTTGACCACAATTAGAATTCTATAAAATCTTCTCAAGTCATATTAATTTGTTTTTGGTCAACTCAAATAAATGCGTTTTTGTTGCAGCAGTACCATGGCAATCCATAAAAAAAAATCAAATCTCTATAAAAAGAATATCTTTTGGTGGTTACTATGCACAGGTCTGACTGTAGTCTTTTTTTATCTTTTTTTCACATTTCTACCTCACATAAAGGACCCACAGTAATAGAAGTGACGTAGTACTTGCCAAATAAACATAAAATAAAAAGAATATGAAAGAAAAGAAAATTTCCCAAACTTGTCAATTTACAGTAATAGTTATTGATCACTTACCTCATACATAGCACAGTATGGATGTTCATTTTGACTCTCTTGGTGTAAGCTGAGTAGAGGTTAGCTTTGGTCGGTTGTTGACCAGCGTCAACTACCACTGGTTTCATACCGTTATAAATCTGATCTAACTCATCAAAACTATAAATATTAGGAACATCACCAGCGTTCAATATGTTGTTGATGTCTTCCAGGAAAGATTCAGCTTTGATCTGAAAAAAAAAATGTAAAAATATTTAAATTGTATACTGATGAAAATGTATGATCACTGCTAATTCAACCAAATTGAAGTTAAGGTAGAAGCCTACTCATGAATTAAAACACCTAGAATTTATTCATTTTGCAATAAACTGTACTCCAAGGCTACATAAGAATATTGACCTAAAAAAAGTTGGGTGTCACCAGCCTTTTTGTCGAGAAATTGATGGTTGTATTTTAGTAGAAAGTAGCCATTTTGACACTATTATAACACTTTTACCACAGGTTTCTATGGCAGCGACATCATGCAATATCTCAAAATCTAACCTGGTGACATCATATATTGTTAATGATGGAGTACTTTTTGTTGTTCTGAATTATTTAAAAAATCTGGGTTTTAAAAAGTGTTAAAAAATGCAATTTTTCTTTAAAGTTGTGTTTTATGGAAATGTTCTAAAAATAGCAATTTTCAAGATATTTCTCAAAAAAAGTTTAACTGTAACACACAAAATAATGCTATTTCATTGTACCATGGGACATTAGCTTCATGATTGTACATAATAAACTAATAAACATTGTCATGTGATTTATGTCCAATTTTGTTAAAAATTATGACTAGGCTTCTACCTTAAGCAATGTTTTGTTTGTCATACATGTAAACTGCGCAAAATACAACCATTAAATAAAGATGATTCCACAGGTACGCTCCATAGAATGTCGCAATGTGACGTCGTTTATTTACATTTTCGCCAACCAGTGTGTGAATATCTGATAATGAATATTCTTCACTGATCAGCACTAGCTCGTGATCTGCTGTGGGCATGATTGCCCATAATGTGAGGTTATTACGAGAATACCTCAAAGTATGCATGAAAACAGCAGGAGTAAAGACTGACGCACAGTGGAGGTCGATGCGTGGCATACTGTCTGAGTGTGTTTTTTTCATTAGAGGACGCTTATGCACGTAAACATTCCATATTTGGAATTTACATTTCCTTATATGGTAGGATGAAAACACCTTGTAAAATACTGCAGATTACGGCACGCTGTAACTTATGGCGTTACGGTGACAAATGTATAAGTGTGCTAAGAACTGGTTCTCACCAACCAATCACTGTGCTTGCATAAAGCGTAATGACCAATAGAGTGTTATTCACAGTTCATACATGTATATTAGTCGCTAAAAAAACTCTTCATCTGATATAGCTGTGGGAATTCAGTTTGAATATGATGCATACTAATGAGCTCATTTGCATGCATCCTGAATGTACTGTACTCACCTGAGTGTCACAGAAAAGGAAAACAATCTGTTTGTTTTCTAAGCCAGCTTTCAACATAATATTCTTCAGATCTTCTCTCCATTCAGGCACTCCATAATTCTTTGACAGTTCAATTTGGAAACAATCATACTCAGCCCTGGTATGAGAAAAACAATTATTATTACAATATCAGCCATGTCAAGAGACAAGACTTTAAAACCTTGCATAGACTATCAGTAAGACTGGTCATATATCTGGTACAATGTTAAACTTACATATGAGTAGCCAGTCTGGTTAAACTCTGCCTTCCACTACCTCCTACACCTAGCAGTAAGGCATTTCCTAGCGGCTGCCGAATAATTCTAGAAATACGAGTCACATGTCTGGTAGCGTCTTCGAATAATACCAGTTTCATCGGAGCTGTTGTGATCTGGTTGTAGTCTTCTAAGTATTCTTCTAAGATTCTTGTCATCTATGAAATACAAATAACATTATGATGTAATATTTAAAACAAAATGGTCACTCGTCAGCCATTTATAATCAAATGATGGAACAAAATTACAAGGATGTATTGTATTTTCAAACAAAATTTATAATAAACATTTCATGATACATTCGAATAACACATTTTGGGCACTAAAATGGCCATACTGGATCAAGTAAAAGAAAATGTTTATGTATATACTGTACTCAACAGACTACTGTAAAATCCTTTATTTTAGCTGGAATTAATTTTCGCTGAGAAGACTTTTTGGGTGTTTTGTACGGAATTTATTTTCACTGATTTTTGATGAATTGAATGTAAAATATAGGAAAAAAGAATATTCGCTGGATATAAATTTCACTGAATCAGTCCTTCAGCAAAAATAGTGAAAATTAATTGCAAGCGAAAATAAAGTATTTTACAGTACTGCCCAGCTTAGTCAGCATGAGGGTTTTTTATCAAGTTCAACTCAACACCCACCCTCCCTTGAAACACCCCAACTTTGAACGTGAAGTTATGAAACATTGTTATTGGACATTGTTTTACTTTTTGGAATAATTAGTGTCAACTATGACTAACGTAAAATTAGATAAACGTGAATGAGTAAATTATGTTTTGACATGACCTGTTGACAACCGTAAAAGAAGTTAAATACATCTTTCACACTCACTATTTTTTGAAAAAAAAATCTTGATGCTTTTTCGTCAAAATCATTGACCTTTCAGATCAAAGGACATTATTGTAGGTCAAATCATGCAAAAAAAAATTATGGAGGAAATTGCCTCCCATTGGCAATACAAAAATTTTCATTTGGTTGCTTGACTAAGCATCAACATCAGAAATTTGGACGAGTACTGTGTGACAAAAAAAAAAAGGAAAAATACAACAGCTTTTCTCTTACCTTAGGAATGTCATCAATTTCTTGGTAGTTTTTATTTTCTGAGTTTGGAACCATAAAATCACCGTACAGTAACGGACTTCGCACGACTACATCTTCAAATTTTGTATTGAAGTCATCACTCATTCTCTGTGTCAAGAGCTCTTCAAACCACTGTCTGTCTTCGTTATTGATGAGACGATCACAGAAAACACGGGCACTCTCGTGGTACCATAATCGTAGTAACTGATTTATTGATTCCAGTTTACTAGCATCAGCCATCAACATACCCTGGAATACTTTGGAGAGATCCCTGAAAAGTAATAAATGAGACAGCCTTAATTTTGAATACTGTTGCTTAGATACTGCAGCCATTGTTATGGAGGCATAGCTCTGTAGACATTGTATGTGAAACAACTCATGCTAGATCTATTTGGTTTGGAGCTATTATTTTTTTCATCATAACTTTAATGCAGCATTTTGCCAATTTTAATGTAATTTTTTGTTATTTT